CATCAATTATAGACTACTAAAATAAACAGTTGTGAGCCTCTGTTTTTGACGTAGTGAGAAAGAATTGATAAAAAGCAAAGGAGAGAGAAAGAGGGAGAAAAGATGAAGAAGAAAAACAAAGAATACAGAAAAAAAAGAGCCAACCAGTCTGATTCGGAAGGGATGATTTGGAGGGGAGGCATGGGAATTGGAATTACCATTTTAGATTTCCCCCCATCCAATTATATTAACCAAACAAGGAGAGGGACTCATCTTCTCTCACATTCCCCTCTCCCCCTCCACTCAACCAAACACACCCTAACACTATGTTTGGTTCAAGGATTTTGGCTGGAAAAAGAAAAGAAAATAGGAGAGAAATGTTTTTTTATGTTTGGTTAGTGAAAAAAGGAAAGGAAAAGTGAGAGGAAAAGAAAAGTGGGGAGAAAATGAATTAAAAAAGGGCAAAATCATTTTCCTCCCAATTTTGGACGGAAAACGAGAGAATCCATCGCTCCCGTCTCTGAAACCTTCGCTCCCGTCTCTGCCATCTCTTCTCGCTCACCCATCTCTGAACATCGATCGCAACCCTAATTGCTGCAATAAACGATCGCAACCCTAATTGCGATAAACGGCCGCCTCTCCCATTCAATTGTCACTGAATTTTTTTCGGTTTTGCTGCAATGTCTTCTTGCCAAAACTGATTTTTGCTGCTCTGGAGTAGAATATGTCTGAGTGCATTCTTCAGAAGCTCCCACCGGAGGGGCTGTGTGTCATGGGCAGTGTGTGTAGGTCCTTGTGGGAGAGATGCATAAGTGACCATTTGTGGGGAAGACACTTGAAGCAGAAATGGGGGAAGGTCATTGGCCCTGCTGCCCACAGGGAATGGCAGTGCCATATCTCTTTTTCAACCAAGGCCATCTAGAAAATTGACATTAAAATTCATTGTGTTTGTGGTTTGCTGCAGAATGGGCTTGTTTTTTTCCTGAAAGGTTAAGTCATTTTATAGACATGTCTGTGTACTATGTGTTTGGTTTCACTCCTTTGTCATTGTTGAAACAAGAAACGAAATGCCCTTTTGTGGGTGGGTGAGGCATCATATTGATTAAATTGCATGTTCTTTTTGTTTGGTTTTATATTTTTGTTTATGTTAATTAAATTGCATGATGATGAAGAAACACAAGATGTGTATTGGAGCAATTGAAATGGCGCTGGAGTCATAAACATATTAGTCAATAAAATCTTTTGGCTTCAAATTTGGATTTACATTGTTTTCTCACCAAATTTCCTTCTAACCAAACAAAAAGAGCTTGAAAATACATTTTCTTCATCAATTTCCATCTTAACCAAACATAACTAGAATTTTGAGTTTCTTTCCTTTTCTTTTCTTTTCCTTATCATTTTCCTTTCTTCCTCAATTCCTTGAACCAAACATAGTGTAAAGGCTAGTAAAGGGAGAAAATGAGAGTTGAGGTTCAACTCTTTTTTGACAAAGAGTTTAGCTGGTAAATTTTGTGGTCAATAAAATTTATGTTCAGTATTCCGAAAACATTGAGTTTTTAAATGTTTTCAATTTTTGAAATTCATGGCCAATATTATTAAAACATTTAAAGAGTGTATTTAATTAAGATTCTGTAGGTTTTTTTAGATTTTAAAAATTTAAAGGCATTTAATTAGAATTTTAAGAATTTCCTCCGTATTTAAAATCTCATACTGTTATATTACCTCTATGTCGAATGAATACTTCTAGTTTGAGCGGACAAAGAGATTAAGAAAAGGTTAAAATAATTGTTGACTTTCTCAACATACCCTTGGTTCCTTTCAACTTTGGTTCCTTAATTTTCCCAATTACAATGTAAAATCTAGCCTTTGAACTATCAAGTTCAGATACGATTCAATGGCAACCATTGATCCAAGTAAGTTTGAGGGTGCTAACTTCTGGGAGTGTGGAATATCATCTAAGATGGGATGGTCAAGTGGTAAATCACATCATAGAGTGAGGACATCTACAGAGTCATTTGCTATATCTTTTTTTCTTCTCTTCTATGAAACATCTGGGTCGAATCCTATCCCCGGCCGTATTCAACTTTCTTCTATTGCTATGCTAGAACCCTCGTCTCTCTAGTTGTCTTGTACTATTTGAGGCTTCGAGCCACGTTGAGGCACAACATTGATGGATGCATTCTTGATCCCAACCCCACCTAAAAAGTGGGATCCACCAACTAGGATGTGAATGATGAATTTTAGATAGTTCTGAAGACGTTTGGTCAGATTATGTAAAGAAAAGACAACAAAGATGTTTTGAGTAGTGGGAGAGAAAAGGAAAATAAGAAAAATTGTGGGTTAATGTAAGGGTAGTCTTATCATTCTAGTGTAAAAATATTTCCTTTTAAGTAAATGCAAGCTTTATTTTGGGATAACCCAAAAAGAAATATGAAAACCTTATTTTGAGACCAAGGTAAGAGAATTTCAAAATATATGTCCAAATCTAAGGAAAAGGATGAGAATAGAACTAAAACATAGCAAATAGGCAAAAATAGGGCACCCATATTTTTATCCCCAAAATAAGATATATATTCATTTTGATGAAATAAAATTAAACTTATTTACAAATTAAAATATAAAAATAAATTATACTCCCCAAACAAACATTGCCTCTACTGCCCCCACTAACACGCTTTCCATTGTCATAATCTGTAACTATCAACGCCATCATCGACACCACAGTGCCACGTTGATTGTCCTTATAGTGTCAAATAAGGGCATAATGACAATTATGACAAGACATATTACCACACACGAAAATACATAATGACAAACATGACAATGTGTAAAGTCAAACATGTAAATGCATGCATGATGTGAAACAAATGGATAATACCAAAGAAGGAAATGTATAAAGCTACACATGATAATGTATAATGACAAACATGTTAGTGTATAATGTCACACATCACAAATATCAATGCATATTGTCAAAACAAATGATTAGACACCCGCCTTGGAGACTTAAAGCTATAGTCTAACTCCATCACTAATTTAGATTGGCCTTGTGCGGTTCAAACTTGGAAACGCAACACCAAGATTCACTGTCGCACACTCCATACGTGTTCTGTGGTTCAGTTTCCTTGACCCCTTTGTCATAGACTCATAGTTTGATGTTGCAATTACTGTGGTTTAGGCGATCGTGGGCGCAAGAGCTCATGTCATTGGCCAATTGTCACACTCAAATTTTTGAAGGGAGATCAGACTTGAGGAGCATCATGTAATCATTCGTACATTATCAACCTTTTATATCACACAGAGTTGAGTACGTTACGTTATTGTCCCACTGGATTCGAACATGTGAGCTCCCATTCGAGAGAGTCGCCTTCATATCGTTGGACTGCAAAATCTTTGACAAACTTGAACGTTAATATGGTTTAATTGTTAAAGCTCGGGAATTATGTGACTAAGAGAAATTTAAAAGATTATGGTGTTGATTCAATTCCTTATTCCACAAGTTTTCCATACATTAAGCTTTCTCATAGATATAGAAGAAAAACATATGGACATTTAAAATCCAAACAAATATTTGCAATAAAAACATTAAAAACAATCAAAGTTCATGTATAATTAAAATTATTCATGGATATATAATCCATAAATTATAAAAAATTAACATAAAATTTTAAAATATGAGTTAAATGCCTTAAGTTTTTTACAATGTACTAGTAGTAGGGGTGGGGTGGGGTGGACTGTATGGCAGTGGGTGGGCTGGACTGTACGGCAGTGTGAGGGGAGGCAGCGGGCAGGGGAATGGGTTGGGTAGTTTGTACCGACGTAGGGACCCCGTGAGCATGGGATGATTCAAGTGACGGACTATCCGGAAAGATTGGGAGGAAACCAAAGAAAGATTCAGGAGGGGTATTGAATGACACATTGGGGGAAGACCCATGGGAGTAGGGAAATTGGTTTTCTTGGAATTCGACATGACGTGACACGTAGACACGACCAGTGGAGAGGTCATAACAACAAAACCCCTTGGAAGAGGAATCATACCTGAGGAATATGCAACGTTTGGAGCGAGGTTGAAACCTGTGGGTGATTTCATGACAGAGACATGGGTAGGCGAGGCAACCAAAGACGCAAAGGATAGAGTAGTCAGGGCGTGTATGGTAGATGGATTCATATGGGGATCGATTTTGAAGGGACCGCTTTGGCATGCGATTAATCAGAAAATTTGTCGTAGCCAAAGTTTCAACCTAGAATTTAGCGGGAAGGGATGTCGCGCACAATAGTGTCACGAGAGTCTCAACTAAGTGACGATCTTTACGTTCAGCAACCCCGTTCTGTTCAGGGGTGTAGGGACATGATTTTTGGTGAAGAACCCTCAAGCTTTGTAAAAATATCCCAAATCGGTGATTAATATATTCACGACCATTATCAGTTCGAAAAATTTTAATTTGAGTTTAGAACTGAGTTTGGACCATAGCTTGAAAACTTTGAAAGGCATGAAATGCATCAGATTTACTCTTAAGAGGATAGAGCCAACAAAATTTGGTATAATCGTCAATAAAATTAATATAATACTGAAAACCCCCAAATGAGGGTACAGAAGTGGGTCCCCATACATTAGAGTGAACTAAATCAAAAGGGGAAGATGCTTTTGTTTCAGATACAGAAAAGGGAAGCTTATGGGATTTAGCAAGTGAACAAGAATTGCAATGATCAAGTTCTTGGAATTTAAATCCTAGTTGTGCTAATAAGGACTTGGTAACTTGAACAGATGGATGACCAAGCCGACAATGCCATTGATGAGGGGTGACTTTGACCATGTTGACCACGGGTGACTTAGACGCTGGGATGGAGTACAAACCACGCTCACAGGGGCCCTTGAACAGCACTTGATTGGTACGGTTGTCCCGAATCGTAAAATCCTTGGATGTGAAAAAGAGAGAACTGTTATTATCCTTGGTAAATTGGTGGACAGAAAGAAGATGAGAATTAATATTAGGTGAGTGGAGTAGATTGGGTAAGTGAAAAGTATGATGGGAGGTGGTTACAATACCTGAGCCTCTGTGATTAAAGGGATAAGTATTACCTCCCGTAGTAGTTATAGAATTGGTGCCTTGATATGGTGAAGAGGAGTGCAGACGAGATAAATCAGAAGTCACATGAGCATTTTTCCTGTATCCAAATGCCAGTTCAAATTGATGTCAGTGGACTGAGTGGTGTAGTATGCCTGGGAAGGACCAAAGTAGGACTCATCAAAGCGGTGCCAACAATCCCAGACCGCGTGACCTGGATTCCCACAGAGCTGACAAGTGACGGAACCAAGCCGTGGCCCCCCTCTGCCACGGTGATCATCCCGCTGGTGACTAGGAGGACGACTGCCCCTGCCGCCGTATGTACTTGCGCCTCGAGAACTGCTCATGCTGTGGTAACCACCGCGTCCCCGGCCGCGAAAATTACCCCGGGCAGAATTTGTGAAAAGGGCGTTGTGAATTTCCGAAGGAGATGATGAGGCAGAACCTGTGATTTGTAATTGTTTCTCAAGATTGACATTGCGTTCTTTTGATAGAAGCTAGGCCGAGACTTGATTCAAATTGACATTCCCAATATTGGTTCGAATGTTCTGTTTCAGGGGACTATAATCCGTTGGCAGTCCACGGAGTATGCAGAGTATGACGTGTTGGTCCGAGATATTTTCATGAGCCAGAGTAAGGGAGGAAACAATATTCAAGACATTGTTAAGATAGGTTTGCATGGAATCACTCCCTTTTTGAAGGCTGTGGAGACGTTCTTTCAACTGGAAAATATGGGTGCGAGATAGAGAATTATACCTTTGTTCAAGGTGTGTCCATATGGCTGCAGAGGTGGGAAGAGCATGAGTGTGTCTTTGAACAGTGGGGGAGACGATGGCCAATAAACATGCACAGATCTGGGCATCAACGACCATCCAAGTTTCATATGCTGGATTGTCCTTCATAATCGGAGAATTCTCCTTCCCCGAAGCAGTGGCTTTGCCGTCAAGAATGAGGGAGGGAGGCGCCGGTTCTGTACCATCAACGTAACCAAGGAGACGGTGAGCCATGAGATTAGCTCTAATGGTGGCCGACCAAGAAGGATAGTTTGAATCATCAAGCTTCGTCGGAGTGAGAGATTGAAGATTCCGGACGAACAACTTGAGACCAGTAGGGAGTCGATCCATAGGATCGGTGGACGGCGAAGACATAGTGATGGATAGGAGGAAGCTTCGGTGGAAGAGCAGGAGGAATCGGCAAAGGGCAGAAACCCTAGCTGCAGGGGTTGTTTTTTTTCTTCTTGCGTTAATGAACAAAAAAGAAGAGTGGATCTTTTAGCTCCGATACCATGTTGAATTCTATGAAACCATGGATTTTCCTTAAGCAATATAAGTGAATACATGTGGGTATATATAGCTAGAGATCCTAACATAATTAGGATTCTTCTAATATGGTAACTAAACTATAATACAATTCTACCATAACTAGGAATATTACTATAGTGTCTAACATTTATCAATATTCCAATTTTATCATTCTTTTAATCATTATAATAATTTCATTTTTATTGTCTCAAACCCTTTCATTATTTATCATTTTATGATTTTTTCTTACAAATTTTGATATTTTCATGTTCTACGATTTCTCGTATGATATGATGATATCTAACAATGTGTTTGATTTTTCTGGTGATGGTTCTTTAGCTTGTGTGGCACACATAATGTTATCAATACAACGGTATGGGGTCCATAATACTTGGAACCACACTAATTTTAGTAAGGAAGTTTTTCAAAAACCATAACACCTTTTTGTTGCATTAAGAGCTGCCACTTTATCTTATAGACAAACATATGGTACCATCTCGAGGCTATAGTAGCCTATGGTTCATTATATTTGAATTGCTAATATAACCTATTTTGCGGGTTTTCGAAATAATATCATTATTTAGTTGGGAGCTTGCTTTAGTGAAGTATTTATACTCACCTACTTCTACTAAACTGTATGTTATTGTCTCTTCATAAAGACTAGAGTTTAACTTCTCATTATTTAATTAATTTACTCTTCTCGGTTTGGACTTATATATGTTCGTAAAAGACTAGTCATTAAGTCCATTACAAATCATGGTATGTATGTGTGTGTGTGTGTGTGTGTATATATATATATTTAATTATTATTATTATTATTATTATTATTGAAAGAAAGAGAAAAAAGTACAAAGGAGGGGGTTGGCCGGACCCCTACAAGGCCTAAATATATAACAGTCCAAAGATTGAAAATTGACCAACACAAATAAACAACTAAAAGAGGTCCCAAAGCTTTGTTAAGTCCCTTGTTGTCGCCATATGACTGGAGAAATATTCTCTTATCTTGTGTCTGCCATCACTCAAAAATTCACCATATATATATATATATATATATATATATATATATATATATATATATATATATATATATATATATATATATATATAGATATATATATATATATATATATATATATATATGTATGTATGTATGTATATATATATATATGTATATGTGTGTGTGTGTGTGTGTGTGTGTATATATATATATATGTATATAACGGTTTCCATTTGTTTCTTACAAATCAGCTTGTAGTCTTCAAAAGACTTACTCCTTGATCATAAGCAAGTTTTCTTCTATAAGAAAGTACTAAAGTATCATGTATATGGACTTAAGATATCTAAATCTTCTGATCTATTATAGATCCTTAAGTAGAAGACACAACTATTATTCACACTTTTTGATGAATAACTTCATACCTTATTTTGTCAATGATATTTTAATATCATGTGCAAAAGATTACTATCTTCCCACTACTCTTTAGCAAGACTCGATCCTTGACTTATCATGTCCATAAATACACTACAAGAAATATGACTTTTTGTACCTAAATTTTAGTAGCAAAAAGAACTTTTGCCACAATAGACTATTAGTCTATAAATATTTGTAGCAATTAAGAATTTGCCACAAAATGTTATACCTATTGTAGCAATCTGAAAAATTTGCCACAGTGTCTAAAGAATTTGGCAAAAAAGTAATAGAAAAAAATTGGGGATTAAGAGGGATTTTTTTCGTACTCCCTAATTTTTTATATTTAAAAACAAAACATAAAGACCCCAATCGCAGTAGAATGAGGATGTCTACTGGAAGCTTTCACTCTTTCAACCAGATGACACTTCTTCTATGACGATCGACACAAGTTAGTTATGGTTTTGTTAAACCTTTTGTTTTAAATCTTTGAAAACACAATGTAACTCATAGATAGATAACTATATATCTATGTACATGATCGTGTGTTTCTAAATTTTTTATTTTAGTGCTATGATATATGTCTAAGAGGTTCTCTAGCATAGTTATATAATCCAATGTAAACTAGTTGAAGTATTATTCAAAATTTATATTCTCATAATAACACTTTATACGAGAATTAAATTATGATCTAATTGTGTTCAAAAGGATTAGATAACTAATAGTTTAGAGTATTAATCCTTTAATCATATCAAGAGTATTCATATTTATTCCAAGATCTCATGCATTTAGTTTGTTAAAACTTTTAATAGCTTTAAAGTTTTCGAAACAAATACTCTCAAAAGAATATTTTGTTATAATTGACTTATGTTCGGTTATCGTCATTTATATATCTATATACATACATGTGATTACTAGATAACATTTGTGTAAAGATATCTATATATCTTTATGTAAGTCGATGTACCCAAGCCTATAAGGTCCCAAAAATAGGCCTATCAGAATTAATTAATTGATAAGTAATTTATAAAGTTTATTATAAAGTTTGTCAATAAATAATGAAAATTATATCGTTGTGTAGAGTTTGAGTGTCTGACCGCAACGATTCAATCGGATTTTAATTTGGAGAAAGTTGGACAAAAAAGTGTACCCCGACCGAGACCAAATTAGTCCCAATCAGGGACTTGAGTTTGGAATCCGAAGCTATCGACGTTCGCTCCACTAGCCGCTCAACTAGAGACAAGTCAACTCTCTCAAACATGGAACAATTTAAAGAATCCAAACCATGGATGATACTCCTATGGAGATCCTAAAATGCAAAACTGTTATCAAGTAAGAGTTTGAGAATACATTGAAAAATGAAGGTTTACAAAAGTGACAACTTTTTGTAAACAATAAATCATCTTTCGACTTGTATCCCAAGAATATTCATACTTGCTTGAATCTATGTATGTTGATCGCTTTATATCTTAAAATCTTCCACTTGACTAATCTTGAAGAAATTAAATTCCATTACTTCATAGTAATCATATCGATTTACTAAACCATTGAAATCTTTGACCTAAAACACATGACAAAGATTCGCTATTAAATCCATGTTATGCATGATGATACCAATTTCCAAAATCACACTACCTGAACCTCGTGATTAGATCATAATGATGAAATACCCAGACTTAAACATTATGTTAAACCTCTCTCTATGAACAATAAAATAATTGATGTGATTTCGTTATCTCTGAACATTATTATCGATGATCTTGACGATCAACAAACTCTATTCTAACCCTAACAAGGGAACGTTGCGCAACAATTAGAACAAGAAGTTTGGTTGAGTTTTGTGTTTAACATGTTTGAAGAACCAAGAATCATAAACCTTGAGTTTGTTGTTAAAACTTCGAATTATTGATACCAAAATGATCTATGAACTTTAGAGAATATTTTTATATAGTTTAATTGAAGTTTGGTGACTTAAAATGATATTTTTCGAAAATGGACTTGAGGAAGAAGATGATGAAAAGTGAACGGTAACGAGGTACCGGTGGCACGATAGCTAGGTACCGTGCATCAGGTAGCCAGCTACCGTCAGAATGGTAGTGGTTGTACCGTTCGGTGATAGATTCTGAAATCCAGCGGTAGCTACGAATGAGCGACCACTTGATGGTAACGACCGACCGTCCCGAACACTCTCCAATGACGAAAAGCCCAATTTTGAAGATATTAAATCCTATTTTGCATATCATTCAACTTTGATCAATATTCAAATGATTTATGGGAATAAAATTGATGTTTTGAAAAAATCAAGAACCTTGTTTGATGCATGACGGTAAGGTAGGTGTTAACACTCGATGTTAGGCCGTTATTTGAATTTTATGATGATTATTAATGAATATTATTGATTATGATCAAACCTTGATGAATATTCGGATTAAATGATAATTAAAATGAATGAACCATGATTCGATGATGAATACACCATAATGGAATGCCTTTGATAATAATTTCTATTAAATATTGATTATAATGATTAAAAGGATGCTCCATGTGATTATGATCATATAATGATGACGATTTATCTTGACAAATATGAAAATATTTTTATGAACAAATAAACCATAAAAATGATTGTGATTGAATATGTTGGTGTGAATATCTTGACTATATGAAGATACTAAATGATTAAGGCTATCTAGAAGAACTCTAAGATAGACCCCTTGTAACTAATTTAGTCAGGCCTTACGGGTATAATTCCTGATGGCTAGGGTTAAAACTTATGGTATCCATAGACCAAAATAGATGATCATTCGTTAGGGGATACCCTCGTCACAAGATTGAGTAGTCTGATGTCTGGTTTTTGCTTTAAACTAATTACAGTATAAGAGTGTGGTAAATATTTACCTTAGACTAATTACAGTTTAAGAGTCGGGTTATTAATTTTCTTAAACAAATTATAGTTTAAGAGTCTGGTTATCAAATAGAATAGCCTTAAACTTGTCATAGTTTAAGAGTCCCGTTATAAAAATATGGATTTAGCCTTAGACTAAGATTAGTTTAAGAGCATTGTTATGATTTGGCCATAGACTAAAAATAGTTTAAGAGCGTTGTTACCATTTAGCCTTAGATTAAGAATAATTTAAGAGCACTCTTGAAATAATGAATATAGAATATCTGCATAGAATAACATGTGTTGATATTAAATGATCTGACATGTACTGAACATTATCAAAATCATTAATATTGAATATTGCACTGAATATTATGTGCATGATATCAAATGATTTGATTATGAATTAAAATTCAATTTCTTTGGATGTCCGATGCATTAGATATCCTTACGCAGCTTTAACGCTGAGCGTGTAGTATTTTTTATTTTCTACACGCAGAAAAATAAAAAGAATGATGTGACATGAACGTGGCAGCAGACAGAGGCAAGATTGTCGAGATGGATGTGATAGATTTTAAATGAGTAAATTCCCAAAATAGTCCTTTGTAATAAGATGTTTTCCCAAATCAGTCATTAATAAGTTTTAATTACCTACGTGATCCTCTATAATTGAGATTTATTCCCAAGATGGTCCTTCGTAAATAATGTTACTCAAATGAGGATTAATTGAGGGTATTTGGGTATTTTTTATCTGCTAAATTTAGAATTAATTCTTAAAATGATCATTTATAATGAAGTGTTGTCCCAAAATGGTTTTTCTAATTAAAGATGTGTATTTAATTTGAAATTTAAAAGATTTTTTCTTAAATTTAAATAATTCATGAATTATTTATAGTCAATGTATTTTTAAAATTTTAAATTTTGTTGTACAGAAATGACTATTTCGAGAATATACTTTAAATTCGAATGACCAAAATACCAAAATATCTCCCAATTAATCATCATTTGAGTAACATTATTTACGAATGACTATCTTGGGAACATATCTCAATTATAAAGGACCATGTAGGTAATTAAAACTTATTGAGGACTGAATTGGGAAAATACTTTATTACAAAGGACCATTTTGAGAATTTACTCATTTTAAATTGTTATTTCAAAAGACATAAATTAATTATGTTTTGTGATTTGTTATAATAAATAAAAGTGTTTGAAATGTTTTAAATTTTTATGATTACTAAGTTTATACTTTAGTCTAAAAAGGGCTGTAGACCTGGACGGATTAGGGTGTTATTATATATATATATATATATATATATATAAAGGATCAAGTGAGAATACAATATAATGAAAGAAATAAGAATGCATCTCGTGCATTAGATATAAGATCTAAAGGATTGAAAAATTCAAAAAAACTAAAAAAATATGAAAGAACGTGGTGACATCAATACTTTATTTAAAAAGAGATGAATGTTTTTCCTGCCCATACATGAGACTTGTTGATTACACAAATGGTAGTTTAATTATTTTGTCTCAATATTTTCCTTCCATTTTAAGTATGTTTTCATTTTTATTTAAATGTTACACCATTTAAGTATTTAAATTAAATTAAATAAATTAGATAGTAGTGAACCACTGAGGAATTATAGTATGGAAATAAAATACAGTAACATTTCAATATGAAAATAAAATTAAAAAACTACAAATTAATAAAGTATGGGCGGGATTAGAATGATTTATTTAGAAAAAAACTACGTACAAATTAATTAGTTATTTCAAAAAAATATATTATAATTTACAAGCACGAACGTGTAAAAATGGTAAGTTTCTAATATAAATTAGAAAATAAATATGGTACGGTAAGTAAATGGTAATATTTAAATACAAAACTGAATAAAAAAACTACAAATTAATATTAATACTATAATTTCCAAGCATGGAAACGTTTTAAAAATGATAAGTATTCTAATTAGAAAATTAGAAAATAAATACCGTATGGTACGATAAGCAAATGGCAACATTTAAAAATGAAAACAAAAAAAATGGTAAGTGTTCTAAAATAAATTAGGTAAGTGTTCTAAAATAAAAGAGAAAGTAAAATACATCTAAAAATGATAAATGTTCTAAAATAAATTAGAAAATAAATCTGGTTCGGTAAGTAATTAGTACCATTTAAATACGAAAATAAAATAAAATATTTCAAAATTAATATTAATACTATAAATTACAAATATGAAAATATTTTTAAAAAGGTAAGTGTTCTAATTAAAAAATTAGAAAATAAATACGGTAGTGTGCGTCAGCACGATAAGCAAATGGTAACATTTTAATACAAAAATAAAATAAAAGATAAGTGTTCTAAATAAATTAGAAAATAAAATAAATATCAAAGTGGTAAGTGCTCTAAAATATATTAGAAAATAAATACAGTACAGTAAGTAAAAGATACCATTAAATACAAAAATAAAATAGAAAAACAACAGATTAATACTATTAATTAATACTACAATATACAAGCATAGAAACGTGTAAAAATGGTAAGTGTTATCAAATAAATTAAAAAAGAAATACGGTACAGTAAGTAAATGGTACCATTTAAATGCAAAAATAAAAAAAATATAAATTAATACTATTTATACTATAAACATGGAAACATGTAACAATGATAAGTATTCTAAAATTAATATTATTAATATTATAATTTACAAGCATGGACACATGTAGAAATGGTAAGTGATCTAAAATAAAATAGAAAATAAATATCGTAGGGTAAGTAAATGGTACCATTTAAATAGGGAAATAAAATTAAAAAACTACAAATTCCAAAATAAATACATTAATATGTTGAATTATTGCTTAAATAAGTCAAATTATTGAATTTTTGTCAGGGACAATGTCAGAAACATGTTTAATTTTTGTTACGGAAACCTGTATTTAGTCATAGGCAACTGGTAAGAGGACCAAGAAAGCTGGTATAGTGGGCAAATATGGTACCCGTTATGGTGCTAGTCTTCGGAAGCAAATTAAAAAGATGGAGATTAGCCAGCATATGAAGTATGACTGTGAGTTCTGTGGGAAGTGTGCAGTGAAGAGAAAGGCTGTCGGTATATGGGGATGCAAGGATTGTGGCAAAGTCAAGGCAGGAGGGGCATATATCTTGAACACTTCTAGTTCAGTGACAGTCAGAAGCACGATCAGAAGACTCAGGGAGCAGACCGAGAACTAAGTTACATGACCTGTTCCTTATCTTGGTTCTGATATTTATCTATGTTTTGGTATTGGATTTGTACTGTTAGTTTTCTATTTTGATTACGCCTTTGTGGTATTCAGACTATTTTGTTAACATTCCCTTGTAAGGTTGAACTCGTTTTACATTCGTGACAAATATATATATATATATATATATATATATATATATATATATATATATATATATATATATATATGTACACACACACAGATATATATATATATATATAGGGATTGACTCCAGCCAGATAACACCTTACGGTGAGATGACATGCTACGGTCAGATGACGCAAAGCTCACCACTGGCCACTGCAAAGCTCACCAAGCACAACTACAAAGTTCACCAAACTGTAAATCAAAGCTCACCATATTAATTCAACACTTTGAATTTTTTTTGAAAAAAAAATCAAAGGAAGGGATGCTGACTAGACTTTGACCATTGACCGTTGACCATCACCGGCGACCCCTGTCGCTGCCGACCTCCGCCTCGTGCCACCGCCGACCTCCACCAGCCGCCGGCATCCGCCGACCGCCGCCGCCGACCACCGCCGGCCGCCACCAACCTCCGCTGCCGGCCACCGCCGCCGGCTGCCGACCGTCGCCGACCACAACCGCCGCCGTCGTCCTCCGCCGACCACCGCCACCGCTGCTGACCGGTGGTTGACCGGTGTTGCTATTTTATTTTTTATTAATTTTTTAATTTTCAAAATTAAAAAAAAGGTGAGTTTTGGTGTTCAAAGTGGTGAACTTTGCTTTATTTCTAGGTGAGCTTTACATTGGCCATTGCTGAGGTTTGCAGCGTAATGTGGTGAGCTTTGCATCATCTCACCGAAGCATGTCATCTCACCGTAAGATGTCATCTCAGTGGAGTCAATCACATATACATACATAGATATATATATATATATATATATATATATATATATATATATATATATATATATATATATATATATGGGTGGGTTCCAGTAAGAATGATCCTCTACGAAAGAAATAAGAATGAATGAGATCCATTGATCTCAAACGATCAATGGATGGAAGCCTTCTACAAAACGGGCTGCACCGCTAGATTTTATAAGGTAAGAAAATCAATTCATTGAAAATTAAAATCAAAGAGTAATAGGGTTAATATTGTAAAATTGTATTGCATTTAAAATGGTCAGGGATGACACACAATTATCCATTTCCGAAACTAATGCCTTCCATATCATTTGACTTCCACTTACATTCTTTTTTGGATCTGTTGCCACGTTTTTATCATTTTTTAATTTTTTCTCATTTTTATTTTTTTGCCATTTTTCTTCAATAAAAATTAATATTAAATATTTTTTTCTATTGCACTCTTTATTCCTCATATGCATTATATTAATGCATTTCACACGGTGGAAAAGATTTATTTATTTGCTTTGATTTTTTTTCAAATTTATAAATAATACTTTCTTGTCATGTTAGTTTAATCATTTTTTGGTTAACTATATTTGGTTATTTTTTGTATTATCACATTTTATTATAAATTTCTCACATTTTAAAGTAAAAACTAAAAAAAATTATAAAGACTTTTTAATGTTATTGCACTATGATAGCTGATATATGCACTGTGTCTTGCTTTTATATTTTATTTAATTTTTGTATTAATTTGTGGATTAGTGAATAATGACACTGAGTAACTTTTTGTGAGGTGAAAAAGCTTAAGAATGCATTGTATTCAGAATAAATATAATACAAATTTGAGAAATAGTTTGCCTATCCGGGATTCGAACCCACAACCGTAGTACGTACTGCTCTACCAGGCACCAATTTTTTTTAAAGAGACTCACAACTTGCACTTAGATAATTAATGCTTGATAATACTTATTTAGGAAATATACCTTATTTTAAAAGACTATTTTGAGATTACTCAAAGAAATTTATAACTTATAATTAGTTGACTTAAAGACTTAAGACTATATTTTCTAAGATAATTATACGTGTCATGATTATGTAGTTTACATTTAGACAAATGGATAATACAAATACTATATATATGAGATTCACTAAATGCATATCCTACTCAGAATTTTTGTTTATGGTAAGATGACTAATTGTGATATGAAATAAAAGTATTTTCATACAATTTGACTATATATTTTTAAAATATTGAATATTTAAAATAAACAAATTAGAAAAAAGATTTAATAAGACTTTTATACTTTATCCTGGTAACTTGATTTACTATTTTAATCAAAATAACTTTATATTGTAACTTGCGATTTACTTAGTACATACTTATATTGTATTACAATTCAAAATTTTTATTCATAAAATCAAGAAATTTTGAATGGGAGAGGACTTACTTCCTACATTTTCATTTACACAATCATACATAGAAACTTCATAGGATGATATTCTATGAGACGACGCAGATTCATGCAAAGAAGATTGTGATAAAGAAGATGGAGGAGAGCGCGAGAAGATCCGTGATAATGAAGATCTAGGATAATCAAAAAAGTAAGAAAAAATTGTGCAAAAAAACCATGGTGCGATAGGTAATAAGTTCGAGACTAAGTTATTGCCACATCAAAGAAAGTACAATTTCCAATTTGTTACTATTTGTATGTTGATAGAACAACTTATATCTTGACCAGAATACTACCCCGAAAAAATCATTGGAGCACTAGCATTTTAATGTTTTTTAAAATCAATGTGGGGGAGAAAGAATAACAATTTTTTATAATCATTACGGGGGTAGTTAGAATTATGGATGAGAAGAATCATGTTTTTTAATTGTAGAAATTAATGAGGGAGAAAATAGTTTGTATATTGAATTGTTCTTGTGAATACAAAGGTCTAACCCTCTTTATATAGGAAGAGAGTAAAACATATAAGTAAACTTCTATTCCTACCATATTTCTATTCCAACTAAAAGAAGAACTAAACAAACTAGGAAAGATATTCCAAAGGATTCGTTTGACCTATTAAATATACGGAGTATATTTTAAGATGGGAATTTTACCGAAAATTTTAAGTGCATCATCATTTGCAAAAAAATAAATATGTACAATATACAAATGCATCAGAAATTATCCACAAGATGCACCAATTTTGATTCTATATTTTCCTTTAGCTTGATTTTGAAAATGTATTGCCCTCTTTTATAAATGCATTAACTTGATTCAATAATGCACAATGATAGTACATTTATAGTACGTATTGCTCTACCATTTGAGCTAATAGGCACCAATTTTTTTAAAGAGACTCACAACTTGCACTTAGACCTATTAGATATAGATTTTAATATGAGAATTTTATAAAAAAATTTAAGAGCATCATCATTTGCGAAAAAATCACTATGTACAGTATACAAATGCATCAGAAATTCTCCCCAAGATGCATTAATTTTGATTTTAGCTTGATTTTGAAAATGTATTGCCCTCTTTTATAAATGCATTAACTTGATTCAATAATGCACAATGATAGAAAAAAGAAAAGAAAAAAAAGCTAAAAAAAAACAAACAATAATATACACCCCCATTGAATACCAAATTGTCCAATCAACATTATCATGGCCAACAATTTCCAAGAATATAACAATATAACCATAATCCACAAATGCTTTACTTTCTTTTTTCTATGCCTTGAAATGTGACTCGAGGTGGGGGTTGTGCTCAACGTAAATACAACATACAAAGGGGTGGAGTGCAATACTAGTGTTCTACAATGCTATGTCTAATAGAAGAAAATCTTAAAATTTCACAGCACACCAATGCAAACTAGCATAACAGAAGACATAAAAAGGGGCTTTGAAAAAGGTGGATCATTGTTCTTCTAAACCAATCTAGACCAACACAAAGGGAGACTCTCCGGAGGTGTTAAACTTTGAAATTCATTTGAAAACACAAGGAAGGAAGCATCCAATTTTCCAATTATATATTGGATCTCTAACTCTAACAAATCTATTAGTCAATGTGCAACTAAGGCTAATAATACTGCATCTGTGTCCCATTTTGCTCCCTGCACCAACTAAATGGAGTTCTTGCACACTAAATTCCAAATTCATCCAGCAAAAAACAAAAACAAAACATGAAGAGTGGAACGCCAAATTGAGAATTGATTAGTATGCCGAATATGAAGATCCAATCATTCAATAAAGCGATTGGAACAACAAATTGAGAAATAAGGGAATTATACATACAAGAAAAATTGGGATGAATGGCTGAGATTAGAATACCTGAATCCATCCAAACACTGATGCACTTCCAGGATGATGACGAACAAGTCTCACAAAAATTGTAGGTAAAAAGTAAGAGGATGATAAATGACAAGAACACATCTAAAGAGACTAAAGGAAAAATCGAATCCACTAAGGGGAAGAAGATAAAAAACGCAGATGGGAGCGAGAGATTCGATCAGAACCATAGGGAGAGATAGAATTGAATGCTCAACATGCGCTGATCTTCCCGAAGAGAGAAATTAGATTCTGGGCAAAAAGACAATGGTGCCCATACATAAAATAGGCGAAACAATGATTTGGGATCAAGATCAAACGGCCATAATTTGTTCTTATTTCTTTCGTTAGATTTGATTCTTATTTGAACCTATATATATATATATATATATATATATATATATATATATATATATATATATATATATATATATATATATATATATATATATATAATGGTTCTAGAGAGAAGGGAGAGAATTCCGGCCAATTCTCTGGCATTTCTACCGGAAAAGGGAACCAAGAAAAATCCTTCACAGTTTATCAAACTATTTTCTCAACTTTTTGCTCAAAATTCAGTCAAAGAGCTTGGTAGAAGGGAAGGGTTCTATAATGGAATCCCTTCAATCAGCTTTACGGTAGAAGAAGAGGACATACTGGAGAGCAAAATGAACTTCTCAGCAGTTGGAAGGTTCAATAAGGAGCAGCACTTATCAACATTAAAGGCATTCATGCTAAGGGTGGGTTTCAGCAATTTCAAGATTAGAAGAATCAACTCAAGGGACATACTGTTTACTTTCAAGAATGAAGATGACTACATCAGGT